GGGTGTACTGTCTTTTTTTTAGAGGGAGATGATGTCACAAGAGAAAATTTGAATTCATTTTTGGTTGAACTCAAATTTGTTGAATGACATGTAAATGTCTGGAAATTCTGAACTGATACTTTTGCTTCCCACCCACGACAAAAATAAACATAATTTTGAGGGACTAGAGAAATGTACATGTTTGAAAAGAAAGAACTCTAGGGCAAATACATCACAAGAGAGTCTGGTTCAAGTAAATTCATTAATTTTGATAGACATTTGAAAATTCTATACTGAGATTTTTGCCTACAGCCACCCATCACAGACGAAGCATGAATCCTCTAGAGTGTTTATTTTATTTTATTTTCAAGTGATTCTACATATATAATAATTGCTTCCAAAATTGTGTTGTAAGTAGTAGAGAGAATAAGGTATGGAGGGGATGTAAAATGAGAATACAAATAGTTGTAGTCCTATTTAAACCCTCTTTAGGGATAATAAATGAGCTGAACAGTTGATTCTTATAACTTGCTTTGATAACTTTAGCGAATTTTAAAATTTGTTCAACTTTGGTTGGTTAAATTTTCGAGTCGATATCAAATGAGTTTTTCTCAAGCCGACCGGAAGTAGTTTGGTAGTTTTAGATTCATCAAACAGAGCCGAACAAGCAATTGACTATTCAAGTTTGGCTTATTTACTTAACGAACTGAGCTCGAATGAGTTTTTAATGAGCTGAACATAAGTCGAGCTGAAGTTGTTTGGTTCGTTAATCACTCCTAAAGTTGTTGAAAAAGTTGCCAATGGCTGGCGGATGGCGGTAGCTAGCAACAATGGTTGGTAGCGGTAAGGTGGTACAAATAGGTGACACGTGTATAATTAGGTGATATTTGGACAAGTAATTAGAAAAGTACGTGACATGTGTACAGATAAATAACATTTGAACGTATAGATAAATTTTTGGACAGATAACCTCCTTTTCATTTGAACACGTGTATAAATTTTTTTTTTCATTCGAGGGTATAACCTCCTTTTGCTTTCTATTGATGTTTTTATTTTCACTACCATTTTCATTTATATTAAAAAAAAGTAATTTGCTTGGTAGGGATATACATAACATCACTTTTTCCTGAATAATTTTTGATAGGGATATCCCCTAGTATATCAAAAAATTTGCCCCTATGTTTATGTGTGTTGTAATTATAAGAACTCTCTTGATTAATTATTTGCTATAAGTTGAACAGTGTATAAAGTTATACTTGCGGGTGTGTTTTAGAGCAATCCAAATACCTAAAAATAACCCAAGTCAATTAAGAAAAATACCAAAGAACCCAAATGAATTGCCTTAATGAGTCTCCATATATTTTTATTTATTTGCTTTTTCCTTTTCTTTGTTTCTATTTTATTGTGTTTTTATTGATCAACCAATATTTTGATTGTTGATTACAGAATCATTCTCTGTTTATTTTGATTTTCAATAACTATGTCATTAATGGCAAGTTATTGAATGTTTTCAATAACTATGTCATTAAATCTATGTACATTATTCTATTATTGCTTTTGTCTGTTATTTGCTCTTTTACAAAATTCTCTTATGTGATTTTAGGAATTTTCATTCATTTTATAAGATAATGTTATTCTTTTCGTATTGTTTTTGATGTAGTTATCATGGATCCTTTTGGATGTACCAAATTTGAGCGTAAGCTTGAAGATGATGAAGTTTGTGGGAATAAAGAAGAATTAGGTTCCCATGCAAATGACCCTATTCAAAGTTTAACCAAGAATGATGTTCTTGAAATGCAATTCAATTCAGAAGAGGATGCCAATGATTTCTATAATCAATATGCTAAAGTTGTGGGATTTAGCATTAGGAAAGACACGCAAACAATGCAGGCAACAAAGGTTCTTAGTAGAAAATGGGTATGCTCAAGGCAAGGCCACAGAGCAAAGCAACACTTGGCCCGTATTGATAAAAAAAGAGCTACCAAGGCATTGACTAGAGTTGGTTGTGATGCTCATTTCCGCATAAGGTACAATTTGGATGTAGGCAAATACATTGTCACTCACTTTAACATGGAACATAACCATCCATTGGCAACATCACCATGTGTGCCATTTCTTCGGTCGCGTAGGTTTGAAAAGATCCCCGACAAAGCTCAAGTAAAGACTTTGCACGATGTTGGTGTCAAGACAAGCCAGATAATGGATTTGTTGGTGCAACAATCTGGGTGTTTCGCGAATGTGGGCTTTATTCACAAGGATTTGCACAGTTATATTCAAGCCGAGCGCAAAGTAAAAATGAAGGATGGTGATGCGGAGTGTGCTTTGGCTTACTTATGTGCAAAAGCTGATGCTGATCCTTACTTCTTTTACAAGTATGACAAGGATCAAGAGAATCGGCTTGACAAATTGTTTTAGGCAGATTCAAGGTCTCGCGTAGACTATGCTGCATTTGGTGACGTGTTGGTCTTCGATACAACTTATAAAACGAATGCACATAACAAACCTTTTGTTATTTTCGCTGGGGTCAATAACTATTTTGAAACCACCATATTTGCATGCAGCTTGCTTGTTGATGAGACAATTGCAACATATACATGGGTTTCGCAAAAGTTGTCAGAGGCCATGAATAACAAAAAACCGGTGTCAGTGTTGACAGATGGGGATATGGCCATGCGTGAGGCAATACAAAAAGTCTTCCCAAGTGCCAAGCATCGTCTATGTAATTGGCATATGCACAGAAATGCCAAGCGAAATGTTCGAGTCGATGGATTTGAAGGACATTTTAAGCATCTCATGGATCTTGATGCGAATGAGGTTGTATTTGAGGAAGCTTGGAGTAAGATGGTTAGAAAATATGGCCTTCAAAATAACAAGTGGGTATCAGACACCTACAACAACGAAGGCATGTGGGCTCAGTCATATTTGCGTGGTCATTTTTTTGCTGGAATGAAGAGCAGTCAGCGTTGTGAGGGTATGCATGCTTTTTTCAATGAGTGCCTCAAATGAAAACTGAAACTATTTGAATTTGTTAGATGTTTTGACATGGCCCTTTATCGACTACGGAACAAAGAAGCGGATGCCGAGGCAAAAACTGACAACAGTGATCCTTGTCTTACCATAACACTTCAGCCTCTAGAGAAACATGCAGTAACCATCTTTACCAGATGTTTGTTCTTAATGTTCCGTAATGAAATAATTTAGGAAGCATTGTTGATTTTTGATGGAAGGAAAGAGGAGTTCGATCATCGCATATACAAATTTTCAAAGTACACTGAATTTGGTTCCACATGGGAAGTGTCATACCATCCCGCAACTAGCATAATGAAATGTAGTTGCAAAAAGTTTGAGTTCTTTGGACTTCCTTGCAGCCACATGATTTCTGTGATGAAATGCGAACACATGACTGAAATTCTCCCAAGTTGTGTGATGCATCGTTGGACAAAGCAAGCAAGAAAGGTTGGTGAACAACATTGCCAAACCCAATTCTTTAGCACTCTCACACAGGAGACGCGTTTTGGGGTACTTTGCTCTTCTTTTACTGAAATGTGTTACTATGCCTCACAAACATCTGAAGGATTTGAAGAGGCTAGGAATGCATTTTTCACTATGACATGTCGGATGAAGCAGCTTTGCATGGCCAAGGGAACTAATGTTGATGAAGGAAAAAGTCCACTGCCGCCATTTGGGGTTGGGGATTCGAAAGTAGTGAACACGAAGGGGAATACTCGGGGATCCTACATGGCTAAACCTCGAAAGCCAAGGCGATGCCAGTGTTGCAGGTATACATTATATTGTGCTTTGTGTCTTAATTTTGTTATTGTGAGGTAGTGTTGACATTTTTGTTCTCTTTAATGATTGGTGATTTACTTGACAATGTAGGGTCGTCGGCACACAAGGAGAACTTGCCCCCGAAACGATCATAAAACGGGACAAGTGGGTAGCAATTTGTTTGAGGAATAGGATGATTATGATCCAATTGGTACTCCCACCCTTTTTACACCGAAGCGTCCCAGGAATAATATTAGGCCATGTAAGACCCACCCTGTAAAGAGACGACTTTTTGTCACTAATGTGGATACGTCTCCAGTGCAGTTGAGCAAGGATGTTAATGACTTGCGTAGTTGCGATGCACAAGTCATCCAAAATTCAGCGTTCATTGATGCAGATACGTCTCTAGGTGATTACTTTTATGGCATCTTTTCAGTTCAAATTATGTTCATTTTGCTTACATTTGCTTTGCAAATTTTATGTGGCTGCTTAATTCTAATTTCTTGATATGCCAAGATAGATTTTAGCTAGAACATTTTGATGTCATAACTAATTATGATGTTTACAACTTGATTATGAAAATAAATAATTTACGAAAACAAAATGACAAAAGAGTGTGTAATGACCAATATATCAAAATTCAATTTGTTATGATTTGAATCATAAATTTCAAGTGAACAAACCTTAACGACAATTTAATTTGTTTTTGCAGGTGTTGCTATGGGTAATAGTTGCTATGATCGAGCAGGTGATATTGGAGCTAAACTAAGATTTTTTTTAAAAAAAAAAAATTGAGGACTTAAATTTGTTAGTATTTTGTATAAATACTCTTAAACGATGGTTGATGGATATTTGTTTTGTTGTATGGACTTAAATCTGTTAGTATTTTGATGGATATTTGTTTTGTATAAATTTCTAGCAAAGGCTATGAAGCCATTTTGTTTAGTGTTTTCGCTCATTTTTGAAGCAAATGCGCAACAGCAAGTGCATATAGAAAATTGAATGCCATTATTCAATCGTCTTTTCCCATAAAATATTCTCTTGAAAATGGCCAAACCATCATTTTAGCTCTGACAATTCTTTGCACAGTAGCATTTGCCACCAAAACGTCAATTGGAACTAATTGGCAGCATGCCTTGTTATTGTCGACCTCTTGTTTACTTTTATCATCGATGTTCTATGATTCGAGAATTTTATTTTTTTCATCTTGAAGAGTTCAGTTGGTACACCCTTCTCAATCTAGGGTCTTGGCCTTTTACAGCAATGAAAAGGATAAAGAAAGGTGACAGGCCTTTTACAGCTTTTAAAATTTTTATAAATATAAACTGAAAACTAAAAACGGAATAGTTACCAAACAGACCATAATATTGTAATCAAGTCACAAAGTTTTGTGATATAAAATAGAAAATACATAACTGCATCACTAATTGGCGTAACGAAATTGTTTAAAATTCTAGAAAATCACAAATGGCGTAACTAATTTCCAAAATTTCATAACATTAACAAAAAATTATGTAACTATCCACTAATTGGTGTAACAAAAACATCTAAATTTTTTAAATAATTTAATCTTCAGCCTCTAGAGAAACATGCAGCAACCATCTTTACCAGACGTTTGTTCTTAATGTTCCATAATGAAATAATTGAGGAAGGATTGTTGATTTTTGATGGAAGGAAAGAGAAGTTCGATCATCGCATATACAAATTTTCAAAGTACACTGAATTTGGTTCCACATGGGAAGTGTCATACCATCCCGCAACTAGCATAATGAAATGTAGTTGCAAAAAGTTTGAGTTCTTTGGACTTCCTTGCAGCCACATGATTTCTGTGATGAAATGCGAACACATGACTGAAATTCTCCCAAGTTGTGTGATGCATCGTTGGACAAAGCAAGCAAGAAAGGTTGGTGAACAACATTGCCAAGCCCAATTCTCTAGCACTCTTACACAGGAGACACGTTTTGGGGTTCTTTTCTCTTTTTTTACTGAAATGTGTTACTATGCCTCACAAACATCTGAAGGATTTGAAGAGGCTAGGAATGCATTTTTCACTATGACATGTTGGATGAAGCAGCTTTGCATGGCCAAGGGAACTAATGTTGATGAAGGAAAAAGTTCACTGCCGCCATTTGGGATTGGGGATTCGAAAGTAGTGAACACGAAGGGGAATATTGGGGGATCCTACATGGCTAAACCTCGAGAGCCAAGGCGATGCCAATGTTTCAGGTATACATTATATTGTGCTTTGTGTCTTAATTTTATTATTGTGAGGTAGTCTTGGCATTTTTGTTCTCTTTAATGATTGGTGATTTACTTGCCAATGTAGGGTCGTCGGCCACACAAGGAGAACTTGCCCCCAAAACGATCATAAAACGGGACAAGTGGGTAGCAATTTGTTTGAGGAATATGATGATTATTATCCAATTGGTACTCCCACCCCTTTACACCGAAGCGTCCCAGGAATAATATGAGGCCATGTAAGACCCACCCTGTGAAGAGACGACTTTTTGTCACTAATGTGGATACGTCTCCAGTGCAGTTGAGCAAGGATGTTAATGACTTGCGTAGTTGTGATGCACAAGTTGTCCAAATTCACTGATGCAGATACGTCTCTAGGTGATTACTTTTATGGCATCTTTTCAGTTCAAATTATGTTCATTTTGCTTACATTTGTTTTGCAAATTTCATGTGTGGCTGCTTAATTCTAATTTCTTGATATGCCAAGATACATTTTAGCTAGAACATTTAGATGTCATAACTAATTATGATGTTTACAACTTGATTATGAAAATAAATAATTTACGAACAGAAAATAACAAAAGAGTGTAATGACCAATATATCAAAATTCAATTTGTTATGACTTGAATCATAGATTTCAAGTGAACAAACCTTAATGACAATATAATTTGTTTCTGCAGGTGTTGCTGTGGGTAATAGTTGATATCATCGAGCAGGTGATATTGGAAACTAAACTAAGATTTTTTTTTAAATTTTTTTTGAGGACTTAAATCTGTTAGTATTTTGTATAAATACTCTTAAATGATGGTTGATGGATATTTGTTTTGCTGTATGGAAGTTCATGTTTTGTATGCACACTTCTTTTTTTTTTCTTGAAGAAAGAATTTTGTAAGGAATTATCATTCACCAAACGAGGTTGTGAGAAATCCTACACTACCTTGCAGTAGTAACTCGCTTTTCAATATTGTTGATCTTCCGTCCAGGTTCATCAAAAGAGTTAAATTGAATAAATAGTTGTATGGACTTGACGAAGACTAGAAGAAAAACTCTACAATATTATTTGGATGTGATTGATGGTATAAATGGAAAGAATATTTTTGTTTCTACGTAAAATATTTTTTTTAATGCATCGATTTTATATAGAAAAATATTATTTTTATTTTTCGGCATTTGGTTGACACTTAAAACAAAAATATTTTATTACTTAATTTAGAAATTTTGATTTAATAAAGTGTAATTCATGACTATAGCGATCCCGGTTTTCCCCTTCGTGTTTAACTGTAATCCGAACTCGGTTTCGCAAATGTGTTGTTGTCTTACTCTCTTTCTATCCCTTACTCTTTGTGTTTGAGTTTTGGGTTGTGTTGGGCAAGTTGGGAATAGGTTGGTTGTGTTTTAAAACATAGAAATTTTGCCCAGTTTCTGGTCTCTCCGCTCGAGCGGCACTTTTAACGCTCGAGCGGGCCTTTGTTGCTGCTCATCCGCTCGAGCAGGGGTTTTGGCGCTCGAGCGGGAAAATCATCTTCCCAGTATTTCCTGTGTAGTGTTGGACGCTCGAGCGTGAGGTTTGACGCTCGAGCGTGAGTTTGTGTGTGACGCTCGAGCGGGAAGTTGGACGCTCGAGCGGGGACCTGTTCTGCAAAACTTCTGGATGGTTGTATCCGCCGCTCGAGCGGGCGTTTTGATGCTCGAGCGGGAGTCTGTGAATGACGCTCGAGCGGGGGTTTCCATGCTCAAGCGGGGCGACTTGTATATCACAACGGGTTTTACCTTTTTGGAGCACTTTTTGATTTCCTTTCTCTCTCATACTTTTCCGAAAAAGCCATTGGAGAGCACCTCACTCTATAATCTAACTTCTCTTTTAGGATTGATCTAGCTAGAGTGTTTTCCTACCCTTTGGCCTTTATAAAAGTTGTGTTGATCGTCGAGGGCTTCGTTTTAATCCGAGAAATTTGGGATTTGGAGAACTTTCGAGTTTTGCTCTTCTTCTTCTTGAGTTCTACATTTGAGGTAGGGATTTCCTTGTTCTTTTTCAATGCTTCGTCTATAGATAGACATGTGGTAGTTTTGTATTGCATGAAAACCATACCTATGTTGGGTTTGTTTGAAAATCATGAGGGAACCTAGGGTTGGTTGATTGAAAATGGATTTGTTGTCTTTGGTTGTTCATTGGAATATTTGTGGCGTAAAATAGCATGTTGTTGTTGAAATATAGAAAAGCCCTAATTTATATTTGTCATGTTAAATTAAAAGAGGGGTTTTGTTCTTTAGGCAAATACTTGTGTATTTTGAGTCTCAAATGAGGTCTTTGTTGTTTATTGTTGGTGATTGAGCTTTTTGGTCAATATTGAGAAAAAGGGAGAAAAACCCTACTTTAATAATTATGACTTAATTTGCATAATTAATTTGGAAGGTTATGAAAGGAATGGAATTGATTTTGGGAAATGAGAAAAGTGTTTTTGGAATAAGTGGTGGAACATGTCAATTTGGAAAATTATGAAAGTTGATTTTGAAAGTGAAGAATGAAACGTTAACTGTATGTGAGTCATAGAAAATAAAGATGAATTGTCTATGACGTTGATTGAAATGGTTGTTTTCGAGAAAAGTTCATACTTATGTATATTTTGTGTAAACTCTCACATTACTATTCTAGTATGAGATTGAGCATTCATGATCATAGCTATCTGTATGTTGTTATTGTTGAGGGCCATGTTGAGATCTCTACTGGACTATATGTTCATCCCACGTTGTTGAATCTTTTTCAGGTGTTTAGCAGGATGTGCTACAAGATTTGGATCTTCTTATTTGTTGGCCACGGGGCCTCTTTGTTTGTAGGCGAAATGTCATATATAAAAAAGGGTTGTACCCTTCATTTGATTATTTAATGTTGTAAGCCTGAGGACAACTTATTTAGAATACTCATGTTGTATTTAATTAGCATTCGAAAGAGAGAATTGTTGTTCACTCCTTCTAGTTGAACATTTGAGTTTATTTCCTCATGTTATCTCTGAAATTGAATTCAGTTAATGAACTCTGTAATGACTTCGAGTAATAAAAAGTGGGGCGTGACAATGACTTTTTAGTGAGTTAATATATTTATTTGAAAATGGTAAAAAATCGTTGAAAAAATAGTGAGTGAGAATCAATTTTATAAAAATTAACTTACGAAATTTTAATAGATAAGTCATTTTTTGAAAAATGATTCAAAAATATTTTGCTTAAAAAATATTTTTCTCACTTTTTATTTAGGCAAATAACAAACAAATATTTAAATGTTTTACGTTAAAATAAAGGGAACCTAAATTACCAACTGCTTCCATATCTCTATGTAAGCCCCCATATCTTATCCATATAAGATTGTGATTTACGTTATCATATGTATAGATCTAAAACTATAGTTTATAATTTATTAGAATTCATAAAACTATAATTTATTAGAGATTCAGAAAAACGAATGTTCAAGTTTTCAACCCAACCACCAAGGCCTGCGTTGTCAACCGCATGACAAAGGAGTTAATTTATTTAAACAATTTAAAGTAATGATAGGGATCATAAAAAAATATCCTAAAAATGGTTATGAAAGATTCTTTGTCGTTACATCACATATATAATAAAATATCTCACATTAATCAAAGAACGAAAAAATTTTATAAAATATTTTATGATATTCTTTCGTGATTTCTAATATTATTTTTTTATTAGTTGA